TTTCCACTGTGTCAATCCCCGCAAGCTGTAGGGAGCCCTGCAAGAGCTTGGGGTGCCAAAACACTTACAGGTCTGTATGTTGTCCTAGATTGTTCACTTCTCCTGCCTTCTCCTAACTTTTCACCCTTTTGTGAATAGCCCTGATAAATCAAGGCAGTACAGTCGCTCTACACAAACTAAGAAGCCACTGTGCAAACACCATCTGGGGACACCGACTGGCTCAAGTTAGAGTGTGGCGTACAGCAGGGTTGCAATCTTTCACCATTCTTGTTCAACTTTTATTCTGAAATGATTAAGAGGAAGCTGGAGCTTGAAGAATCAAAAAAATCGGGGTAAAGATTGGAGGAAGAACATGAATCTTCGATATGCTGACAACACTACCATCCTCTCAGAAACCAAAGATGGCCTGATAAATTTAGTCAAAAGGATTTCACTTTCCTGGGATTGAAGATTGATGGATGAGGTGATTGTAGTCCAGAAATAAAAAGGCGTATCCCACTGTGTCACACAGCGATGAGGCGTATGAACAGAATATGAAAAAGCTCTAAGCCTGGCAACCAAATGCAGATTAGCTGCATTAGACAGCTGTTAAACATGGACCACAAAAAAAAAACTAGACAGAAGGATAATGGATGTGTTTGAACTATAGTGCTGGAGAAGGCACCTGCACATTAAGTGTACAGCAAAAATGACAACCCACTAAACACTGGAACGCATAAAACAAGACATGAAGGCAGGATTATAAAACTGAGGTTCGCCTATTTCATTGATGAGATTTAACTCTCTGCAATTCTGCTTGGATTGGTTAGCAGAAAAGGAAGCCAAGCCACAAAAGGAACACAATGGTTAGACACCATAAAAGCCGACACCAGTCAGAACATGAAACAACTAAAAACATGACAAGATCCGAAACTGTGGAAAATCACGGAGAGTCACAAACGACTGAATGGATACCACACACAACCCATCAGTTTATTGTTGCCATCTCTCACCCATTGAGAACATTTCTTTTCACTTTCTTGTCCCTGAGAAAAAAGAGGAAGCAAGGGGCAATTTTTACAAAGTGAGGAGAACTCCACTCTAAAACAGTTTCACCAGAATAGCTGTCCCCACTGACTATTTCCTATCTGAAACTACCTGTTTCAGTGACAACTATATCATTCTGAATTTCCCATTTGTTTGTGTCCTAATGACAACTCGCAGAGGGCAGAATTAAACTACCTTACAGGGACATAAACCATGCTAAAAATGCCACAGGGGTTGTAACGTTTCCCTATTGTATCCAGAACATAAGGGAAAAAAACATTTTGGCTCTACATACACTAAGGCTTACCATACAGCTATAGATGTGCAGATTTTCTATGGTCAGATGGAGAAAGTGCAACAGATTCCTCCATCTACGCTAAACTGTGTGGATGAAGGAATCTCCCACTGGGCCAAGCTTCAGTATCCTGCTAGTTGGCCCCGCTGCCTGTCCGAATGCCTGAACAATCTGATTGGATGCAGGCATTCTTCAGGTATTTTGAGAGCCAGCGGGCCGACTTGCAAGATACTGAAGCTTGGCCCAGTGGGAGATTTCTCCATCCACACAGTTTGGCGTAGATGGAGGAACCTGTTGCACTTTTTCCATCTGACCATAGAAAATCTGCAGATAATCTATAGGTGTATGGGCAACTTTAGGTTTGTGTTGCTTTCTTAGGGAACATACAAGCAGATTGATAAGACTTTATCAAAACCAGAGCAGACAGAATCTGGAGCATCTGCAATCCAGTAGCAACCAGCTTCTTTCTTTCATTTTCAAAGCTTAAAAAGGTGCCCATACACCCAATTATAGTTTGGAAATCTTCCATGAATGGTCTTTCGAACGATAAATCAATCAGTTGATGGGAACCCTAAGAGTTTTTTTTTTTTTACTGTACTGTTGAGTTTTCTTTTC